TACATATGTAAATACATACACACATACATGCACATGTATTTATTATATGTATCTCCTGTGTTCTTATATAGCATTTATACCTCTGTGCTTGCTGAGATTTATTACGTTTTCGTGCAGCAATGACCCTCCTTTTTAGCGCTGTTGCTGTCACATACTTGTTGATTTCAATAAATTATTACCATTTATGCAGGTTTTTGGCGCTGCTCACAAACACATTTGTTAATTGCATATTTACTGTTTTTACGTGCCTTACACTCACTCAGTACACTGTCCAGTACTCAAGCGTCTCTCTTGCGCGCCCCGAACCGCACCGCAGCTATTCTTCTCCATCCTAGCGACACGTTTTTAGTTATCATTTGTTGTGTTGTTTTGTTGCTCTCCCGCACAGTATTGCAACGCTGACGCTATAAAACAATTTAAAACAATTTAACCATTAATTTTAAGACAAACATTTTAAGGTCAGCAACATGCTGCCGACGTCGGTGGATAAGCAAAAAATGTTGCAGATTCGGTTTGGGGATCTCGATTGCACAGAAATGTTCCACTTCGCTGTCTGAGAATGTTGCTTAAATATGCGTCCGCAACAATGTTGCTTATTGATATGGTGCATAGAGTAGCTGTATGTAATCAAATGTTAATGAGTAGAGTCCGACCGATCCCAATTTTTTTTCAGGTACTGATGCCGATGCCGATTAATCGGCTTATGGGGAAAGAATCGGCCGACGGCGATGCCGATGCCGATTCCATAAAAATTACAAATAAATGTATTAATTCATAAAATCAGCTCATTTCACGGAGTTAAAAAAGCAAAAGAAAATGTTTAATCAGAATTTTGGTATGTAGTTTTGTAGACCATTTCATTCTAGTATAATGAAGTGCAAGTTTCAAGCTGCTATAAAATCCCGTTAATTTTTGGCAATTTTTTTTGCTGGCAGTGTTCTCCATATAAAAAAAATTTTCGCACATACTTTTGTATGGAAAAAACGTGAAACACCTACAACAAAAAAAAAAAACATTTTTATGAGCTGTCTGCAAATGTTTTTTAATGTTGGCTCTCGCTTCACCTGAACATTTGAAATGAAATTCCAAAGAATCGGCGAAAAAAGGCCGATGCCGATGCCGATGCTCAATTTCGTGCCGATACTAGCCGATGCCGATGCCGATGCCGATTAATCGGTCGGACTCTATTAATGAGGAATAATTTTTTGATGTTTTTGCTATACCTATGAACATTAGGCTGTTCCTTTAATGTAGGTAGCAAATTTTTACATCAGATTTCCTAAGCGTCAACACCTACATCCATGCTACCATAGTCGAAGATATCACATATAAATTTTTGTGCCGATTGGAGACGGTTGAAGCGTGTTGCACAAGTTCAGATTACCCTCTGAAGACGTCTTAACCGACTCCAATCGGAACTAAAATTTATATGTGACATACTCGACTTTAGTAGTGTCGATTTTGGGCATTAAATGAAAAAATAAAAATAAAAATATTTTGCGACACGCCTTCAACGACTCCAATCAGGATCAAAATTTATATGTGACTATGGAAGTATCGATTTTGGCTATTAGATGGAATAAATTATTTTAATTTTTTGAGTCTCTATAGAGGAGTCTGTACTTTGCCCCCTGTGCGACACGCCCCGGCTGTCTCTAATCGGGACCAAAATTTATATGTGACATATGTGACAGTGGTATTGCCGATTGAGGGGGTGAGACCTAACAAAAACCTTCATTTGATTTTAAGGACCAAATACTTACGAGTCAGTAGCAAATATGAGCTATATGTAGGTATGTACATATGTACATATTTATATTAGAGTGGTCCAAAAAATTTTTTTTCGAGATAAGGTTCGGGCTACCTTCCAAAATTTTTCCTCTTGCGCATTTTAAGGTGATTGAGCGCCCTGTATTGCTTACAGTAGAAAATTGAAAGTTGGTATACATATTAAAAATACCAAAATGAAAAACCTGAGGAGGTGCCCCATTTGCTAAACTGAAGTTTTTTCTTCCCATACAAAACTTGAACCACTCTAATGTATGTACATATATGTATGTATGAAATCATGTAATTGATTTTTTTAAGTGCTCACAACTAAAATGATATCATAATAGTATGTACATATAGGTATTATTTGTATAAAGACAAGAAAAAAGTCGCCAGTTTTTGCCATTTATAGGTACCACTTTCCGTACCAGCTTTAAAAACTTTCCCGCTTATCTAATGCGCATACAGTCCCTATACCACAATAACAACGTAACAACATAACAACGCTCCACTCCGCACACAAAATGCCAACAGCCAACAACTGCCGTCGAGTAAAGACATTCCACGCACCAACGCCAATGCAGCTCATTATTTATACGCATTTATTGGTGCCACCACAGCGTGCAACATATCAAATGATGCCCCTGCAACTTCATGGCCCCACCGTTCTCTCGCGTCGCTGTTCACCCGCCTGTTCGACTGCATATACATATGTATGTATGTATGTATGTACGGAGCGCTCACTGTGCCATCGTCCCAGCGCGCGAAAGGTGGCTATGGTTACGCCATAAACGCGAAGCACCAAATCACTCTGCATACGGTGGCTATAAGTAGATGTGAGGCCAGACAGATGCACCACATGTACATACATGTACTAACTATGCACATATGCAAGCACCTACCCTCAAATGACTTTTCGGAATAACTTTGCAGTTAGTATCCAGCAGCGTATGTAGCGCCGTCAAATTGCAAGCTACACATCTCCTACTCCTCCTCCACATAACGACACTCCTCCCGCTCCTCACGACTCATATGTAGTGCACTTTCGCTTAACATGTTTTGCTTCATCACCGGCTTTTTGAAAGTTCTTCTTCGTTTACTTTGCGGGCGTTGCTAAAAATGGCTGCCGCTGATGCGACTCTCCGTGCATGCTCTAATTAAAATGCATTACTTATAGTACTTTGGTCACTCTCAGCTCAACTCCATCTAATGCTTTGCATGATGAGCAATGCAGTTGGTGCACCGAGTTTTCCCCGAGTGTGCATTTATTTTTTTCGTTTGGCTCCCGCTAATGGGCTACGATGGGCGTTGGTGGCCACAAACTTTTAGTAGGCACTGTTTTGTGGTCATTAGTGTAAACAAATGCGCTTTTTATTGGGCTCTTAAGTGCGTCTATTTGAGTTTTATATTATTTTTTTTTTTTAAGTTTTTGGCTTTCAGTTTTTTCTTATTTTGCCGTTAGGTAGCTCTATTTTTGTAAATATTTACTCAACATTTTCTAATGATATGTTTTTTTTGCGTTTTCTTTCTTGCAGACATCCGCTATTCCCGCTCTTGGCGCTAATATTTGAAAAATGTGAGCTGGCCACATGTACGCCTCGAGAACCTGGCGTGCAAGGTGGTGATGTCTGTTCGTCAGAATCATTCAATGAAGATATCGCAATGTTCAGCAAACAGGTAAGAGGAGAAATACCAAATTATGCATATTTTTTAAAGTTAAGCCATTTTAGTGTGTTAATAATTTAATTTTATTATTACCTTAAACACAAGAAAGAAAAATAATATATATATACAGATCTTACATTCTAAAGGTACTTGAGCTCAAATGTGTGCACAGAGTAGTTATATATAGACACGTATTAGTTCGGTGTGGATTTCTCATTTTTTGTGCCTCGAAATCTGGTCAACGCTGGATTTGCCAAGTCTGAAGACGAACTCTTAAGATCCAATGAGTTTGTTCATAAAGGGATTCAGTTTGTCACATAGTGTTGTAAATAGGACTTTTGTATTGCATACTAAGAGGGCTTATCTCGTAGTAATTTCCACAAACAGCAGATTATTGGGCGAAGTACACAGAGATTCCAAACTTTGCTCATATTAGATCCAGAGGGGCCTGGTTGTTCTTAAGCCTCATTACTGCAGATTCCAGTCGAGTGGCGTGAGCATCGTCCCTATGCACTTAGATGATAGAAATATTTATGCTTTAAAGGTCTGCACAAAAAATGGTATAGAATTTTATCAACGGAATCGAAATAATGCCATTTTTGGAGGTACATATTTTCAAATCATTCTCGCTCACGTAAACCTGAATATTTTTTGAAATATTTTCAAAGAAATTAAAGTATATCTAATAGTTTTTACAATTCCGGTGGAAAAACTGCAAATTTTTTTTTGGTGATGCACCCTAATGTAAACAACGTTTCATTTCTTCCATTTAAAGCACAGTTTTTTTCTAAACAATTTTGTTTAGTGTTACGTTAGTGAGCACGTTTTAGATTTGTTTTTCAAAACAATTTCAAGTGCCTCCTGGTTTCGTGTTACCACACAGCTTTGCTTAAAATGTGGTTAACCGATTCCGAGCCCACCTAACTAATCCCCTACTTTGCCATATGTGTACTCTCGATTTCCTTGAACTCTCTCACTTTCCTTCTGGAAAATCCAACTCAAGTACCGCGTAATAGTATTTCACTTTTACCAGCGAAATATTCTCAGTTTCCGTTGTACTACGACTGCCGTTCTGCCAGAAACAAACCAAATTTTCCCACATCTATGCCACATTTGCAGCTAATACTTAAGAATAAATCTTATATTCTTATACATAGTATGCAAGTAATTATGCGCGCATTTGTAGTGTGCGAGTGGTGTACTCACATCCCATCACCGAATGATGGATTATCTGCGCTATATTGCGCTGCCTGAATGACAGACGGGCTGCTGAATACCAACCAGCCTACCATTGCCTGCCAGAATGCCAGCAGATCCACTTCACTGGTAATTGGAGATTATTTTTCCAAAGCCAACACATGTGGCACACTCGCTGGCATACTTGAAAGCGCACAAAACTGTTAAACGATCAGATTACGGCGCGAAATAACTAAAAACAACAAGAAGAAATGCGACAGTCAGTGAGAGTGAGTTTTTCATTTAAGCAAAGTACTACAATGTAAATACATACATATGTATGTATGTATGTATGTTTGTAAATACAAAGTCTAAATCAAGCTGGGTTGTTGCAGGGACGCCTTATGACTTCAATCATTTCGTCCAAATCCGGCAGAAGTACTTGAGTCACCATCAGAGCGCTGTGAAAGGGCAGACGAACGCAGAAGTATGCAGCCATCCATGTATATACATACTTACATATATGTATACATATCTATGCGTATATTATTAAGTAGGGATACTTAATTTAATTTTGGTAAATTTTTTTCCTCGCCCCTTTAACGTTTGGCAGTTGCTTTAGTTTGTCTGTTGGTTCTGTTGCTATGCACATCCGTGGCGTTGAAATAAAATACTAAAGATGCACAACAATAATATTATTTCGGTGGAAAAAACGTCATTTTGAGCACAAACAGATGTGACAAATGTGTGTGCGCGCTTATGACGAGCAAAGCATCGAGCGGATGGACGGATGAGTGGTGGGATGCCAACTTCCAAGACCGGCCATACGCTTGTAGAAGAAACAAAAAAAAAACACTCAGCATAACAAGTCTACTTGTCAGCAACGCCCGCTGCCTGTACCAACAATGGTAAGGCGCACTAATTGAGCGCGTATGGTGAGCAAAATTAAAAAGAAAAATTTAAATAATGATTTAAAAAGAATTGAAAATAATTAAGAATGTGAAACAAGCAAATCCAAAGGAAATACAAAGACGACGAAAATTGAAAACACAAGTTGCCACTTCCTTTGCGCCAGAGCAGCTGGAGTCAATACAAATGTAAATATCAATAAAAAAAAAATATTTAAAAAAAAATCAGTACTTCAGCCAAGAGCGCTCGCTCCCCATAACACTTTTGCGCTTCCTTTCAATGCTGCAGCAGTCGGCAACAATTTCTGCAACATTTTATTTGCCACCGCGTGTGTGTGGCGTTGGTGACTCCATAAAAACGCACTTGTTGGCTGCCACACTGACATTTAAATAATTTACGATGTTTTAACATCAAAATTATGTTGAGCGCAGTGCGGTTGTGGGTGCGGGTGCGTTTTGCTTTGTTTTTGCTTTGTTTTCATTTAATTCTTTTTGTTTTTGATGATGTTGCTGAAGTTTTTGTGACTTATGATGAGCCTGCTGTTGGCTGACATTCTTGTATTTGTTAGGGTTAACACTGCTGCCATGCATCACTTTCTGAGATCATGCTGCGCATCATGATGATGTCAACAATCATGCTGACTGGGTGTAAAATAGTGACTGCTCGAAGCGACCTCCCATTCAACATGCGCTGCCTTACTTACAGCCTCAATGTGCGGCATTTATTTGGATGTTGTTGTTGCTGTTCTTTTGATATCAACAGCGCTTGGCATTTGCGCATGTTTCCTCAACTCATACATATAAAAACCGAGCCCTAGCCGCCAAAAAATACGTAAGCAATATTTTTGTCTACATTTCCTTTTCCATGCAGAAATGCTCCTAAAGCACCTAGATGCATTTCTGCATCAAAAAGATTTCAAAAAAATTCGTTAACGTTTTTTTGGCGGTTAGGGTTCTATATGTATAAATTTTGCTACTTGCGTACCCTACACCCTTCCACCTTCCACTTGGCGCGTAGACTGCAACTATTTTTATGGCACGATAATTTAACGTGCAAGAACAGCAGAGCAAACTACAAAGTACAAAATTAATAAAAAAAAAAAATACAAAAAATTGCGAGAACAACAAACAACGACAGCATGATCGCCAACAACAACAACGGCAGCATCAGTGGTGCGAGATCACATTAAAAACACCATCAACGCAGGCACCTCATCACATTATGATTGCTAGCTGGCTGGATGGCTGTCTGTCCGCCAGTCTGTTTGTCTGCTGCCTTTCCTTCTTTGCGTGTAGAGCATATTGCTGTTGCATGCCACAGCTACAGGCATGCACATAAAGCACATGTGCTGCTGTGACAAAAATTTGTCAAAAGTGGCGTTGCACAAAAATAACCACGAAGCATTGCTTGGGCTTCTTCTGTAGCCACAAAAGGAAGTTCATTTTTATTGTTCCGTTTTTCTCTTCGAATTAATTCAAGTACATACAAAATTATAAAAATTATCAATATGCCAAAAATGACATGCCAGTGCATTGAAGTAATAATCACAAAAATTATGTTTTTATTTATGGCTCATTTGTGCACTTCATGGCAGCTGCTGTTTGCTGCCACTTCAGCGCCTAAGAACAAGGAGTGATTGTGTCGAAGTTGCTGCTGAGGCAATTGTGCGATGTTCGGTGCAAGTTTTTAAATTTTTTGTTTTTCTGTTGGAAGACTCTAAATCGTCGCTGGGCAGCAAAAAAATGCAAATCAGTAACAATTATATTTTTTTGTAATTTTTGCGTTTCTGCTTGATTTCTTCCATATAACAGTTTTAATTAAATATAAAAATGGCAAACAAATATTTTCAATATCAAATTTCAATTTCTTGCTGAAATTATTAAAATATACTTAAAATCTTGAATGGCAAAATTGCTCAAAATTTGTTCTTAGCTAAGTTTGTTTTTCCTTAACGCAATTTCAAAACTTTTTTGTTGCAACATTTGAATTCCAGCAAAGTATGTATGCGCATACATATTTCATTCACTTACTTGCATTAGCAATTGTTGCATCATTGTTGCAGTGCCACACTACTAAACATGTCATATTTAACTACATTTGCATACAAACTTAACTCTCTACATTTCAACAGCTCCATCGTCAAAATATTTACGATGTAACAAATGCAACATATTCATTTACTCAATTGTATTTAAGAACTTAATTCCACAAGCACATACATACATATGCACTTGCATATATTCGTTCTTATAAATTTAGAAGCACAATTTTTCATACACTAATTTGCATGCTTCTCGCTTTTCATAATTACACACGCACATGCACACATACAAACATAAGTACATTTATTTCCAACAACTTCTAAATGCCACACTTAGTGAATTTTATAAAAATAGCCTGCTATGAAAAAAGGAATAAGCAAGTGAAAATAAATATAAGCATTGCATGCAACCAGAGTCCCCTCACTTTCCCAACGAACAAGAAGAAGTCTGCATGAGAAAATACATATATACATACAATCTACAGCAGCAAAGCAGTCACAAGGCAGCCAGCAACATCAAGCAACTTCATCAACATGTTTACCATGTCGATCATCATTCAAAAGTGCAATTGTATGAATGTACAAATAGTATGTGTGTGTGTGTCAACAACGTCATGATTGTCAGGCGCAAAGTTGTCTTCATCAATATTGCTACCGTTTGCGTATTTTTGACGCTGCCACCACCTACCTAATGCTGCTGCAACAAAGTGAAGAAAAATAGAAATAAAAACAAAAAATCGATCACCAAATTTTTCTTCATTCTTTTGCTCTTCTCATTGTGGCTGCCAAAAATATCGCCGACACAACATTAGTCGCTCACGCAGTTGTTGGCTATTTGTGTTGCATTTTCTAAATTTTGCTTTGACTTTTAAGCCTTTTTTGTTGT